TTTCCGGAGACGTCGAACAATTTTTCACTTTTGAATCTATTTACTACTATTTTTCATGGCTATTCTAAATGTATACGATTTTGCTTCAAAACACGATGGTGCGCGACAAATATGTTATTCACATCAAATGATAGTGTTCTGTTCGAAACCATTCTTTTCCGGAGACGTCGAATAATTTTTCACTTTTGAATCTATTTACTACTATTTTCCATGGCTATTCTAAATGTATATGATTTGGCTTCAGAACACGATGGTGCGCGCTTCTTTAGTAGGCAGAATGAAGAGGAATTTGTATCCTTCCAAATCCCCCAAAAATCTTTGTAGACAGAACCAATCATTAGTTCCCAACCATGGGGCCGCTTGATGTGCCCATTCAATCGCCTTCCAGCAGGCCAGTAGCTCTAAAGCAAACATAGTAGTGAGAATTTGCATGAGATGTGATAGGAGAAGGCTCTCATACATCAGTGTGAATGATTTGCAAAGGTTTAGAGTATTGGGTGATAGATTCTGTAAAAGGTAAGGCATGAGCTTTTGCTTGAAGACATGAACCACAAAGAAAATTTTCATTGATCAAATAAGGAACATTACAGCTTTTCATAACTCTAGTAACAACTTCAACTACTGCATGTCCTAATCTAGAGTGCCACAAAGACAAATTGGCTATTATATTACAAGATGCTAAGAAAGTTCTTGGATTTGAAATATCAGATAGGGTAGTCACTGTGGATGATTTTGTAGGAGTGTGAATACGAGCATCAATCATGTAAAGCCCCTCTTTAAGTGAACATTTGAGAAAAAACTTGATGGATTCCTGATCCTTGATAAGTCAGGAAGTAGGGTGAAACTCAAAGAAAACATGATTATTATTGACAAATTGAGACACACTAGCCAAGTTCTTAGTTATGGAAGGAACATGAAAAAGATTATTGAAGAGAAGTGGTTTTGAGTTCAAACTGGATTTGAGAAATAAGTTGACAATATGACAGATATGTAAATCTGTTCTATTACAAATCTGCAGTTTGTTGTTGCCATGATAATCATAGGCTAAGTTGAGGTTAGAGAACTCATTAGTAACTCGCTTTGAAGCACCAGAGTCTGCAAACCAACTAACTTCAGAGGCAGTATCATTGACAGGACCAAGACAATGTGCAGTGGGCTGATTTGGTGCAGCTGGGAGAGTGTGAGCCACTTGATCTTGCATATTTGTTGGCCTATGGTAGGAAGAATCAAACATGTGGTAACATTTTTCGGCTGTATAATTGGTGTAGCCATAAACTTGACAAGCTAGCCCTGCGTTGCCTTCGTAAGACCTTCCCCCTCTACCTCTAGAGTTTCTGTCTGTTCCCCTTGTAGAGAAGTTGTTGTTTCTGGTGAAAGGACTTTGGATCTGCTGATTTGCTGGAGCCTTGTTGATGTTGTTGTTGTTTGAAGAGCAGTGAGAGGCAAAGTGAGCTGAAGGACTAGATCCATCCACGTTGACAACAGGTTGTTGGGTGGAAAGATACTACCTTGACTCCAAGCTTAAAAGCATAGCCTAAACCTCACTAAGGGAGTAAGGTTCAATCCTGGTTGCGACTGTAATTACCACAACATTGAATTCAAATCCTAGTCCTCGAAGGATGTGCAAGATATGGTTATGCTCATTGACAGGTTCTCCAACCGTTCCAAAAGAATCACAACAGGCCTTCACTTGAGATAAAAATTCCCTCATTGGCATGGTGCCTTTTCCAAAGGTCTGGAGTTGCAGATTAATTTACATAAGCCTGGCCTTCAATTGGCCTGAGAAATTTGACTCAAGGGCTTGCCAGAGGTGTTTTTACCAATCATCATAACTAGAAGGTTTTCATAAAGAGAGGACAAATCCATGATGCTAGCAACTGATCTTGTCTGATCCAGTTGATATACTCTGGATTTGTTTGGATTTGAGTGTTTCCTTAAGAGAGAATTGTGGGAGAAGGAGCAACACTCTCTTTGTTGATGTAGTTTTCTAACCCATAGCCTTTAATGGTGATCACACACTTACTGTTTTCACAAAAGGAAGTTTGAATCAATGAGATTTAGAGACACCAACTGGTGATGAAGTTGAAGGAGGGTAGTCTGGCTATTTGGAACAGATAATGGTGAACTTGTTTGGCTTGAAGAGGAAGTTGCCAAAATAACAAGGAGAAGCATATGAGATCAATAAATGAAGGCATAGGGGTACCAGAGACATGTTACAATCTTGCTCTGATCCAATGATAAAATGTCATTTATGGATCATATAAGAGGAGACAAAAGCTTGTAGCATAAAGATGGTTGCCATATTCGTTTTCTGATGAAAATAATATAGGGGCTATTGTTTATATATAGCCTAGAGATTAGCTAACCATAGACTAGAACCAAGAAACAAAGGACACGTGGCATTCATGGACGTCATTGCTTGCATAAGCATATGAGTGAGATGTCAAGGTACACAAAAGAAAAGAAAAAGATGCTCTCTCACGTTTGTACTAGGACTAACAATCTTGGATCCCAATTGCTCTGACATGGTGGTCTGGGATCCTGGGAATAATGGAAAGTTCATAGTAGTATCAGTCTATGATCAACTGGTAAATGAAAAATGGAACAAGCTTAATGTTTTGGAATGTAACAAGCTGAAAGATTGTGTAAAGAAGTTGGTCCCTCCAAATTGTAGGTAATGTGAAGGACTTCATCTGGAAAAGCTTCTCCAACATTGTGCCTATGAATCAAAACCTCTTGAAGAAGATGATGAATATTGATCTTGCAAAACCTGTGGGGAAGAACCGAAAACCCTGGAACACATTTTTTTTTGCATTGCTGCAAATCCAGAAGGGTCTGGGAGATTTCAACAATTTCTTGAGATGGCCTGAGTATGGAAACAACCTTCTTCAAGCATTGATGGATCTAATCTGCAACCTTAATGAATCAGTTTTTTTCAGAGCACAGAATTCAGATGAATGCCTATCTCATCTGGTGGTCGTGGAAAGCTAGAAATTTATGGATTTTTCAAAATTTCTGCCTTTTTGAATTCTCCATTGTGCAATTTGCTTCTTCTGCTTGGATAGAATACTTAAACTGCTCTTCTTAATTTTCTGTAGTTGTTTTTATGTCCTTGGCTATGTGCCTTTCTTAGTTGTTAGTTGGTTTATTGTTTGGTTTGCCGATTTGTTAGTTGATCTGTTGTGTGGGTTCTAATGCTTCTTCTATTGTTGTTGTAGTGGTAAATCTGCTAGGTTCATTTGTTTGGTGGCAGGTTTATCTTTTGTCTTTGTGCTAGTCGGGACTCTTATAGTGCAACTGATTTAGATGTCAAAATTTGGGTTCGGTAGCTTCAGTCTCTGTCGGTTTTTCAACTATCTATTTTNTACCTTCCGATAGTCTTCTTCCTAATTATTGTTCCATTTGTTCTCTTCTTGGAGCTATAAGCTCTAACGTTTCGGAAAAAATAAAAAATAAATAAATGTATCTTCTTTAAATGTAAAGTGTCATCTCAATGGGACTATTCAACTGTCTAACATGTGTGTCTTCAATTTTTTATTATGCATGTGTTAATTTTCCCATCAATAATCCTTGTGGCCCAATTTAAGTATCCAAGTATCTTTGTCTTATGGTTATGGGCTGTGTAAGTGTCCCTCTATGGGCCACTTTTTCTCACTCCTCAGGCTCATGAGCTTGGACCGAAATAATGGGTTGGTTTTGGGGAGTCCAACATTGGCTTACGAGAACTCTCGTCTGTTTTGTATGTTTTTATTATTATTTTATGTGTTTTTAAGTGATTAATTTGTGCTCGTTTTAGCTTTTCGGTCCATTTAGTCATTTTTGTTAGTTTTTATGTTTTTGTTTTGTTTTAGTATTTTGTGCATTTTCCGTCTCTTTTTATATTTTATTTTGTAGGAAAATACTTTTTAGAAATGTGTTCGGCGTTGTCGGAAAGTCATAAAAAACTCACAAAAAAAGTTACTGGAAACTCTTCGGAAAGTATCCGGCCGGTCGGCCCGATCAGCGACGAGTCATGCCGCACTTGATGTCCGCACATAGGCCCAGGCCACGCCGTATAGTACCTGCACGCGTCGCTCAGCGCGCCCGCGCGACGTCACCGAGGCTTTCCCGCAACATGCGCGCCCGCGTCGCTGAGGGCCGCTCGTCGACGTCCGTCCATCTAGCGCGACCAATTTCCTACACGCATGCACCACGCATAACTGGCGACCCAACAAGTTTCCTAGTACACCGCTCGCTTTTTCTCTCCAAACCACCTGCCAAACTCGCGACTCCACCTAGGCCGCACGCACACTCGCCCGCGAGCTGCATCTCGCATGCTTGCGTCCCCCACAGCCGCATGCCAACTACCCCGCCAACTATTTTCCGTGAGGTCGCGAGTGCCCAACCTCCACCAAGCAACCTGCCATACTCGCTTGCGAATTTCAACTAACAAGGTCGCGAGTCCAGCCATTTCAGCCCTCCAGCTCGCCAAATCAGTTTGCTTGCTCGCTAGTTCTATTCATTAAATGTATGTTTTTCAGTGTTTTTTTTAGCTAGTAGTATAAATAGACTTAGTCCTTTGTAATTTTGGAATAAATTCCTCATTTGCAAAATTTCTCTTCATAATTTTTTTTCTCTCTCTTTTTATTTTTATTTCTCTCTAAAGGCTCCAAGACCCAATTTTTATTGTACTATTTCTTCATTGAGAAAGCAACTTTCCGATTTATTTCTTCTCGTGCATGCTACTAGAGACTTGGAGACTTAGTTTAAGATTAAAGATCTCGTAAGTTTCTCTTATCTAATTAACAATTTTTATTTCATACTTTATATTATTTATTTTTTTTGGTGAAAATACAAAACCATATTTAAAAATTCGCTCGATTTAGTTATTTTGTTTATTTTTAAAATAAAACAAAAACTAAAACGAGATAAACAAAATTTAAAAACAAAAATCGATAACCTAACCGACATATAAAAAACAAAAGAAAACTTATATTTCGATCGGTTATTTTAGTTATAATCGAAATTTAAACATCCCTACCGATGGCAAGTAGAAATTATTCCCCGGATTCCAAATTTCTTCTTGAACACCTTGTCCTTGTAATAATACAAACACAAAAGTTTCTGCTTGTCATTCAAACAAAATACACAAACAATACATTCTTATTTGTGTTAAGAGCACTCGAACATAAGATTCAACTATTATAAAGTTTATTCGACAAAAACTCATAGGCAACGGCTTCATCAACCACATAGATCCGAACCATACCAAAGCGACTTCGTAGCACGAAATTGTGATCTTCCTCATATAATTACGAAGAAGCTCTTATTCCATTAGCATGCAATCGAAATTAGAGTTCCAAACTCGAATAATGAAAATACAAACACAACACTGTTGGGTTATATATCCCATCAGTATCATTTATTCATCATCAATTCAAGCACACACAAACACAAACATTACATTATTTAACCAAAAACACAAACTTTAGTGCATAACTCACAAACATAAATAAGATTCAAATAATTGCCTTGGTATTCCCCTCATCATCACCATTGGCCTCTTTGTCCTTGAGGAGGAACTTAGTCCACCACATGGCCGAGTCCTTGCGGTACCTCTTGAGGTCGTTCTTGAAGTCTATGTACAGGATTCCAAACCTGGACCTGTACCCATCGTACCACTCAAAATTGTCGCAAAATGACCATGCGAAGTACGACTCCACCTTCACGTTCAATTCCCTGCCATACAACAGTGTAAGGAGAAGAAGGGTTAGTTACATAGATTTATTTTCGTAATCAATTGATCAAAAAACGTACAATATTTCACAATTTACCCAACAATTAGTATTCGATTCAAATGAAATTCCAACATCTAAAGTAGCTTCACAATGTAGTCGATTATTTCACAAACTTACTTGATTGCTTTCTGCATATATGCGAGATGATCACGGTAATAGTTGACCCTTTGCGTGTCCTTACATGCTTGGGAAGGAGTCTGCTGAGGGTCATTTTGTTGATCACACCCTAAAACACAACACAATATAGACGCTTAATAATGAGTCGACCTACTTAACGATTAGATTGTGTCACGCAAGAATTTATGATTAATCAAAATTTTATATATAATTACAACTGAAAATTGAAACGGTTTATTTAGGATAATTTATGATTAAAAAGATTACCATTTTCAGTAATGTATATAGGAGGGAGTTTGTAAGTAGGGTTGTCGTAGGTGTCCTTCAAGAATTTGAGGAGCTTCCAAAATGCCCACGGGACTACGTATAGCCAGCTTGAACCAGTCTTAATGGATATCATAAATCATAATTATAGAGAAAAAAGATAATTAATATCAATCACATTACATTACACAAAGAAAATGACAAAAAAAAAAGGAAATTGCAACCTCTAATATCCATGAATTATATCATAATTTATTATTTGCAACTTGGATCGCTTATTTGACCACAATATCTTACGGAAAACACACATGTATAATTAAGATGTAGTCAGAGTTATTAATTACGAATTATTGTGACTTAAGATTACGTTTTACAAAGAAAAGAATTAGGTTACAAAAAAAAGCATGTTTTAGAGGATGCAAATTTTTATTTTTTTAATTAAAAAAACTAACACAAAGCATCGGTCCAATGAAAAATAAACTAATTGAAATTCTTACCGAATCACCTATGGGCAGACCATTTTTCACATCTGAAAAAAAAAAAAGAGAAAAGAATATAGTGCACATCAATAATCTTTTTAACATCATAACTTTTGTTTTTTAAATAAAAAACAATAATAAAATAAAAAAATAGAGTTATCATGGTCTTACACTTAAATTTGATCTTCTGATCTTTGTAGTAGCCTTCATTAGCATCGGAATTGGGATCATATTGAGCATACATTGCTGTGTAGAAGTTTATTCCCACAAAGTCAACCGACCCTTTGAGCAGCTTTGACTCTTCTTCATTAAATGGCTCGAGATACTCGCGGGGAGCAAAATCCAACATGTTCTTCGGGTATTGACCCGTCAGCACAGGCTCCATAAACCTGATTTATTATAAAATAAATATTGATGTAATGATAATAATTAGAATTACTTGTTTTCAGTGATTAAAATTAATGTGACGTGTATGTAAATATGGATATTATTAAACAGTTAAAAGCCTTTACATATATATATAAAAAAAAAAAAAGAATAAGAAAAAGAAATAGAAAATTAAATTGTGCTTTACCATCCCAGCATAAAATCAAAGGCTCTACGGGCGGCTTTCACATCCTCATCCTTTGTTTCATCGAACGGCTCAAACCAGTGGATACAATTCGTTATTCCAATCTTACCCTTTTGAAGTTCCTAAAACCATCGTGAAAGTTTAATAGCACATTAGTGTTAAATCGTAGAGGATTGAATATCAAACTTTAGAGGTGTAAAGAGCTTATTTAATTTTAAAAAAGCTAAAAAAATAACAATTCGCTAGTGAAATCAAACTAATAACAAATCGCTAATTGAATTTGCTAGTCAAATCAATTAATAACAATTCAAATTTTCAATATATTTTATTAAGAAGATAGACTGACAATAAATCGCTAATTGAATTCTGTAGTCAAATCAACTAATAACAATTCAATTTTTTAATATATTTTATTAAAAGGCGACTAGACTACCTGAAAATGCTTGCGGTACGTTTCAACAGCGGCCGCATGCGAGAGCAGAATGTTTCTGCCGACAGTGTATGCCTCCCTTGCCTTCTCGACATCCTCATCGTCCTTTGGTGGGGCCACCAGCTTCCTGAGAGTGAAGCTGAAATCATCGATCTCGACTCTCGTCTCCTGAGCCACACGGGCCCCTCTATAGGGGATGAAGTTCTGCCCCTCGTCCTCTTCCAGAGCGAATATATCCGTGCCCGTACTTTTGGGCTCGTTCTCGGGCCCAAAGTAGCCGTGGCGGCCCGGGGGAAAGTGGCGACTGGCGTAGCCGGAGGCGCTATAGGTCCACGCCTCATTTATCGTGATCCAGTGCTTCACGCGGTCCCCGAATTCCCAGAAGCATAGATCCGCAAAGTCCCGAAAGTCGTCCCTAATTATTATTATTATTATTATTATTATTATTATTATTATTATTATTACCAATCGACTTATTTATATTAATAAATGAATCGAGCTGAAGTTATATGCTGGAACTCGAGTATCAAAAACACAAGCTCTGCTTAGAGCATCTCCGATGCATAAATGTTGTTAATATATAAATCTTGACAAATGTCAAATAAATGGATTGTGAACCACATAAGATAATTGTTAAGTTCACAACTTTAAATCTAAAAAATTATCTCCAATGCACAATATAATCAAACATAATAATGTCCACTTTGCCAAAATAAAAAAATATATATATAAATAAAAATTAAATTAAATTAAATAGTTAGATATTTTATAAATGGTAATAATATTTCTCTCACCATTCTCCATTGGTTGGCTAGAATGTGAAAGAGAATATGGATGTACCACATTCTTCTCTACATTGTATATATTAATGATGTCAACCTCATCACTACATTTGTGATTTGCATTGGAGAATTAAAAGTGTAGATATTGCTAAATTTGTTAATATAATATATAATTTACTACAACTACAGATGGTCTTAGCTCGTCTACAAGAAAAAAAGAAGAGCTTACACTATCTTGTGGCTCAAGAAACCGCCATACTCTTTCTCTAGTAGGTAAGGAAGGTCCCAATGGAAGAGAGTCACGTATGGTTTCATGCCTGCACCATACGTCCATTATCTAGATGTAATTTCTTTGAGTACAAAGACTAATATATTGATGTTCTATGTATATATAATTTTATATATATGCATCGAATAATAGAATAGAGTTTTTGACTGGGTCGTATCAAACCATTATCGATGACAGTGTTGATGAGATCATTGTAGTAATCTATGCCTTCTTGATTGACACCAAGGGAGACTTTCCCACCTAACAAATAAAACATGTGGAAAAACACAAAATGTGTTTAAATTACATGGGCAAAGAAAAGAAAATGAAAGGTATTTTAATGGGGTGGATTGAAGTGGGGCCAAATTTTTATGTTGATTAAAAAGGCAAAAAGCACAAGACATAAAAATTGGTATTATATATAAATTCTATTTTTTTTTTTTTTTTCAAAATAGTTCAAAATGAAATCTTAAAATACCATACAATATCATTAATATTAAGTATAATTTCAATATTATTTTTCATTATGATGACTTAAAATGTGTTATTATCAATATAAAAATATTCAGCTACCCACCGCAAACATATTAAGTCATATGTATGTAACATGCCATGATCTCATGATTTTTCCATCGTGTCATATAATGTATGTTAATTTTCAACAATGTCAATGCACATATTAAATTGTACTCGCACGTTGTGGGAAGGAATTGAAAACAGTGATGTTTATAAATATGTTGGATGAAAAAATTTAATATAATTCAATCTCTTAGTTGATTTAAGAGCGGACACTAATTTGCAATGACAATAATTCTCTAATATAATGTAGTAATATCCAAAGACATGATAGATTTATTTATAGAGATACAACGAATAAATAAGACATTATAACAAGAAAATATTTAGTATAGGAAATGAGAAAAATAAAAAACAGCATAGTAGACAACTTCATTTATGAATTGTTATAAAATTACTCTATTTATATCCATTTTATTAAAAATATATATTGCAAAAATTATGTAATAAAAGAATATAAAATTTTAAGTGGCCACCTAGGCCCCACGTAAGGTGGCTATGGATACGCCCTTATTAATAATTGGTTTTGTCATATTATTGCATCTTCATTTGTCGACCAATGTATGTATTTCGTATCTTTCGTACCAGGCAATATTCTTGACCATGAGATTGAAAATCTGTAAGCATCAAAGCCCATGATCTTCATCGTCTTGATGTCTTCCTGAAAAAAACAAACGCGAGTCGAGTAGATTTAATCATATTAATGATCCAAAAAACGGCCTTTCTGAATTTACAGCTTAATTAAATATCAGTATTTAGAGATGTCAAGTCGAGTGGATATATACCTTGTATCTGTTGTACATATCGACAGCCACATTTCCATTGGATCCATCCAGAATGTTCCCTAAAATTCATCATTTGTTCATTATGAGCTCATAAGTAGCAAATAGAGAGAGAGAGAGAGAGAGAGAGAGAGAGAGAGAGAGAGAGAGAGAGAACCTGGATAGCCATTGGAGAAAACATCCCATGTACTAAAGGCTCTACCACCTTGTGCAAAAGCTCCTTCAACCTAAGTATTTTGAATAGAAAACAAAATGCAAAATTAGATGACATTAATGGTTATTTAATAACATATATATTTATTTTTGTTCGCGATAATAATTATATACGAGTGGCCGTAATATATAAGGAAGACGAACTTGGTAAGCAGAGGTAGCGCAGCCAAACACGAAATCCTTAGGGAAATCTTGACGAGAGATTTTGGGGTCGATCGGTAGCGATGGCACATCACTCCCCATAATTAATGGCTATCTATAGACCAACTCTTTGCTTTTTCTTCTTTATTTCTCTATGGGCAAATTTGTTTGAGTTTTTATGAGTGAACAAATTGAAAGAGCCAGCACATGTATTTATAGGGCAAGTCATAAGCAATGCCTTATAGAGTGTTTCTATCTGTATATAAATATATCTGCTCAAAATAAATTTTTTTATTGTTGTGGTATGATTAGTTATTAATGAAAATTTGAATTTATATTAAAATAATATTTAAAATAAATAATTAAAGTTGATTTGGTGTAAAAGTAGAAAATAGATGACATGAAATGATAGTTAGTTAAAATTATGTGAATTGATAAATAGTGAATTAAAGTTGACATGATGTGTAAAAATGACTGATTGAGATTATTTAATTATATTAATAATATTAATAATAGTTTCACTAAGTTAAAATTGAATTATATTTTAAGTATTAATTGAGTATGAAAACAAATACACCTTGTCACATCAAGGATGGGTGAGTCATCTCCAATAAATAATTTCCTGGTTTTACGCGTTTACAATTTTTTATAATGGTTGTGCAGTATGCTTCTTGTCTTTTCATTAATAAATATATGAATTAATAAACAAATTCTAATTGATTATTAATCTTATTGAACGTGAATCGAGCTCTAGTGGTTTATTACATTTATCTCATTATTGAACGTTAAATCGTGTACAAATAATTTGCATAATTTTTCCTTATATTAAAGAGTAGATTGTTTAATCCTTCTTATATATAATTTTAGAATGCATATAATTTTAGAATGCTTTTAGTTAAAATGGCACTCAGAATTTTCAAAATCGTTATATGGCAAAAAGTCATTTTTCAAAATTAGACTTGAATATAAATTAATATTTTTATATAAAAAAGCTTATGTTGGATTGCATTAAATGTCTATAATATTTGTATCAAGTCATTGACTATACTTTCCTTCTTTTCTTCCACAATAATTACCATAAGTTATTTTACGTTCTTTTTTCTACATTTTCATATATTACATTTCTTTTTCATATTTACTTCATATATCAATTATTATAATTATGTCTTTCTCTTATTTATTATTTTTTTTAATTTTTTTGTTCATTTTGTTTTTTATTTATGTCATATCAAATCAATTATCATTTTAACAATTTTCGATTTGATATCCATATTGCATATATAAAATACTAAACAATTACATTTGTCCTTATAAATATAATTTAAATTTATTTATCAAACTAAGTTAAAAAATAGAAAATAAAATTGTAAATTATCTTTTAAAGTAATAAAAACTTATTTGTATTAATTAACATACAATAAAATAGTTATTTTATTTAGTAAAAAATATATAAACTATGTATGAACGTAAAATTAATATAAGAAAATATTCTAAATATTTCTGTATCCACTTAAGTAAGGATTACAATGAGATTGAACATTACAACAATATTGAAAACTGAAAAATCGGGCTGATATTTCTCTTACACTCATATATATTATATTTTAAATTAATAAATATTATAAAAGTTGAAGATAATCGAAAAATAATAGATGGGGTAAGAAAAATTTATAAATATAAAACATGATTACAATATAATCTAACTTGGATAAAATATGATTACTATATAATTTCTTTACTTCTTTATTTTGATACAATTTTTTGTCATGCACAATATTATTCATGGGAGTTATATTAAGTGTCGCATGAATTAATTATTCTATTTAATTTTGGAAGAAAATATATTTCTTAATTAGAACAAATATTATTACATACAAAATATATTCTAGAATTCAAATATATATATATATATATATATATATATATATATTTTTCTTACTTTGTAACATTTTACTTAACAATAAGAATATAAAATTTACTTCTTCAATTTTTGTTGCACAATTATAATTTTTTTTTATAAAACACTCGTGTAGTTCAAGGACATTGTACTAGTCTATTAATATATAAGGTTAAGATTTTATCTTATATAGTAATAAAATTCCACCTAGAAGTTATAGTTTTACTTATTTTGGATCTCTTTTGAATATTGAATTATCCCGCATTAGATACATATAATTCTTATTTTAAATTCAAATTCAAGTCTATTTATACATTTGAATTTTAAATCAGATTTTCTTAATAAAATAGAAAGTTTTTCAGTCTGCAACTTTTTACTCTTTATATAGTTTAATTCGTACGACTTTCTTTAATTAATTATTCTTATGTTAAGTTATATCCAGATAATCGTGAGAACATTTGATTACTAATTGAAGTGCATAAATTTGTGCAAGAATCTGGGAGAACAGGTGCACTTACATGCACGTGAACCGCACCATAATAATGGTGAGCCTAAATGCGCCTAAATGAGGTTCTATTCCATAATCAATTGATAGTAGGAGGAGTAGACCACTAGACTTGTAAGTTATATATGTTTATCTTCTATGTATAAACGATGTAAAACAACTCACAAGTGGTATTATATTCTAATACGCCCTCTCACTTGTGAGTTCTTCATACGAAGCCCAAGCCCAAGTAGGTTGGGTAATGCTAAGTGCACCATAACGGGGTGAATCTAGGTGTATCTTAGTGAAGTTCTATTCCAAAACCAATTAATAGTAGGAAGAATATCTCATTAGGTTTATAAGTTAGATCTATTTTCTCTTTATTAACGATGTTGGACAACTGTATTATATTCTAATAATTTGCATATCTTAAAGTAGTCTTATAAAGTATATTTTAAAATAAATTTGCAGATATTTAAATGTTCCTTACGAAATAAGACACATAAATTGTTCCAATACAATTTTAAAAATTAAAACGCACTCATAGGAAGCAAAAATAGTAAGATAATACTTAAGTACACAATTTTAAAAATTAAATTCCACCGAAAAGAGTAGAAAGCAATATAATTTGGTAAATATTCTTTTTTAAACAAGGTTATATCTAATCATGCTATTTATATCCATATTAAACTTGTATATATAAAGGCTTTTATTTTTTCCCTGGAAATTGTTTAATTTGTTCAAAATATTCCACATATAAAAAATAAACTATTTTGTATTGAATTAGTTTTCGTAGAACTTTTGTTAGATCACACCCAGACTACCTAACCCACACTTAACGTTTAGCGAACTGATCGGAGATTTATTTTGCCATGATAGAGACTTCACCAGAAATAAGTAAATAAATATTGGCAACTCTATTATTATTAGTCTCCATATAATATAATCATGTATTCCTTTGGGTAGACTTTTGCATTTATTGATGATGAGCTGTTTACCCACTACATTTCCCGTATCGATAAATAATAATGTGGCCTTTAGAATTAACTAACGGAGGTTGAGAATGTAATGCTTTGTTTCCATTAGAACTTCAATTCCATGTTCCCATTATTAGAATAATATGAGTAATGGTATGACATACCTCAAATTTTAATACGTATTACCTAGTAATTCATCATGTGCATAAAAAATAATATAAATTTTGTACATAAAAAAATAACTAAAATAAAAATTTATTTAATAGAGTAATATGTATGAAACTTATAACTGAATTGTTAACATTAACTACTCTTAGCTGATATTTTAAATTTCAATAAAAAAACATTAATGTGGAATTTATTATACATTAATGATAATTATTATATGAATATAATAAATAATATAATTGTTAAGAAGGTTCTACTATTTATATTTGTGAACTTTTATAAATGGTTGCATAAGGTTTTGCTACTTATATTTGTTAAGAAACAAAGACGAGGTTGTGAAAGCATTGAAAAGCTTCAAGACCGACGTTGAAAATCAACTCTACAAAATGATTAAAATAATTCAAAATGATAGGAATGGAGAATATATAGCTCCTTTTGAACAAATATGTTCTGAATATGTCATAATTTATCAGACGACGACTTCATCGTCTCCAGTTCCATCTTTTTAGCATAACATACTGACCATCAAAAGACCAAGTTTTTCCTTGCCAAATTTTATTCCTATCTTCTTTTAGTTGAAAGAGGAACTGAAAGCAATTATTTCCCAGATTCCTTATGAAAGGGTTTCTTGTTGACCCATATTCCTCTTAAAGTGGTCTTCAATCCACTGATGTTAGCTTTATTTTTTCCAGAGACTTCACCTATCAAGCTTAGTTGACATTCCTTAAGACTTGGGGCGATGTCCTCGACTGAAAGTTCTACTCCATGTTGTTCCTTATTAGGGAGTCTAAACCATAAGAAAAGGGACTCTCAGACTTTTCAATTCAACGACAAAGGAGGAGTTACTATGCCGAAATTGAGGGTGATTGTAACAAAATCAAATCTTGAAAAAAAAAAAAAGTAAAGAAACATTACACACAATAGTCTTCCTCATATAAATATGAAGAAGTTTTTATTCCATTAGCAACCATAAGCTTCAAATACATGCATAATACAACTTGATTTATACTCCCCCCAATATTCAGTCCATCACCAAACAAAGCACGCCCATAAACGTGCACAATACATTATTCAAACAAGCGCACACACACAAAGTCACACTCATATTTTGATTTATTTAATTAGAAGCACACAAACTTAAATAACATTCAAATATTTTAAAGTTTATTTCATCTTCTTGGTAATCTCCTGATCATCATCATTGACCTCTTTGTCCTTGAGGAGGAACTTAGTCCACCACATGGCCGAGTCCTTGCGGTACCTCTTGAGGTCGTTCTTGTAGTCAACGTATAAGATTCCGAATCTTGATCTGTACCCATCGTACCATTCGAAATTGTCGCAATACGACCATGCAAAATACGACTCAACCTTCACTTTCTCTTCACTGGCATTCGAGTTGAGCATATTTAGGGTTACATAAAATTTTCGGTCAAGTAAATTGGCAATTAAATTTAAAATTGTTTCGTAATCGAACGTACTTGATCGCTTTCAGAAGATAGGCGAGATGGTCACGGAAATAGTTCACTCTTTGATCGTCCTTACAAGCTTGGAATGGAGTAAGCTTTGATTCATTCTGCTGATCACAACCTAAAACACAATAAAGAGCACACAAATCATTAGTTAATTATATAAATATGGTTTTCTAATTGAAATAAAATGATAATCAATCTATGATTTGTTCTCAATATAACTAATTAAAAATTAGTTACCATTTTCAGTAATGTAGATGGGAGGGAGTTTGTAAGTGGGATTGTCATATGTGTCCTTCAAGTGTTTAAGGAGCTTCCAAAATGCCCAGGGGACTACGTACAGCCAGCTTGAACCAGTCTTTCAAATATAAATAAAAAACAAAATAATTGCCAATCAATTAATTCAAATTACTAAATAAGAATCGCTTAATTATTTTTAATAGAATAACATTTGCAATCAATTAATAAAATATCACTTACTAATGATATCATAAGCACAAATGGTATACACATTCTGTTGTTATTTTTAATAATCTTACACATAATTAAAATTAGTGTTTCGCTGATATGCGTGTGCCAAAAACAAAAGCAAACAGAAATTCTTACCGAGTCACCAATGGGTTGCTTATTTTTCACATCTACGACCAAAAAAACAGAGCAACTCAGTAATTTGTGAGATTTAATTATCCAAAAATTAAAAAGATCATTAAAAAATTTAAAGTATATTAATAATGAAGATCTTACACTTAAATTTGATCTTCTGATCTTTGTAGTAGCCTTCATTGGCATCGGAATTGGGATCATATTCAGCATACATTGCTGTGTAGAAGTTTATCCCCACAAAGTCAACGGACCCTTTGAGCAGCTTTGACTCTTCTTTTGTGAATGGCTCAAGATAGTCGCGGGGAGCAAAATCCAACATGTTCTTCGGGTACTGACCCGTCAACGGAGGCTCCATGAACCTGAATTGATGATATTCATAATAATAAAAATTTGATGTGATGATAATTAATTAGAAATTTTATTGCTCAGTTCATATTGACAAACAATAGAGTTTGTAGGTCAAATTGTGAAAATAATATGTTTATAGCTTAAATTTTAATGTTCACTGTATTACAGCAGAATGTTGTACTGGTTAATATAAAGTTTGAACAAATTCACAGAAATTATATGATATTACACTTATAATTTAAGCCCAACATATTGAATTTGCAACAAATTAACTTATTAGTAGAAAACTTTGCTTTATTTATACAAAGAAAACTTCAAATGGCCAACTAAATACTTGGTTAAGAAATTTTTTTGATACATCTACAGTAAATTGGGCAAAAGTTAAAGTGAAATTGATGAAAGAGTACACGTAATGTAAATAAAAATATTACACAATATTTTAAAATAAATTTTAAATTGACGAATAGTCCTACATTTTATATATGTTACTAACTATTTAACATCTTACATCATTATTTTATTATATTTTTTCTCTTTACCAAATATATATTTATATATGTAAATTTAATGGATTCTTAAAAATGTGTCCCCTGCTCCCAATGTATTCAATTCGGAATTTAAGTGACATTTTAAGACTTTTTGAGATTTGAGACTTTCTAGGATTTTCAGATTTTGGAAGAATTCTATGAAATCTCAAATCCGGAGGTAGGATTTGAAGTGGGATTTCATATAAAGTTTTTTGTTTAGAAATCCCACAAAATCTTAAAAAGTCTTAATAAATCCTAGTGTCAAAAAAATTAAATACTTCAGGATTTTGTAAGACTTTTGAAAATCTCAATTGAATACTCCAGGATTTTTAAAAGTTTTAAAAAGTCTTAACAAATCTAAATTGAATACACCAGGATTTCTAAAGTCTTAAAAAGTCCTTAAAAATCCTAATTAAATACACCCCCCGTAGTTTCATGATTAGATTTACTTATTTTATTACTATTGTTATTTATTAAAATCAATTTGACGATTTTTAATCACATAAAAAAAAATGAATAACAAAGAAAAATATGAAATTATAATTAAATTGTTCTTTACCATCCCAACATAAAATCAAAGGCTCTACGGGCGGCTTTCACATCTTCCTCCTTTGTTTCATCGAACGGCTCAAACCAGTGGATGCAATTTGTAATTCCAATCTTGCCCTTTTGAAGTTTCTGAAACCGTAGTAAATTCCATCCTCAGCAGATATAATAACAATTGTAGATACCAAATTCTATATATTCAAATAATTTGTACATTTTATTTCATTCAAAATGAAACAATAACAATCAAATAAAAAACCACACATTAGTTCCAGTTCAAATAATCAAATTTTCCGATTGAAATAATTTTTTTAAAATTAATTACTCGATTCACACACAAAACTCGGTACCTAAAATCAAAACATAGTTCGAATTAGAACCAACGTAGTGCAGCTCAGATAATCAAATTTCTCAATTCAGCCAATTTCTTTTATTTTTTCAAAATTAATTATTCGATTCATAAACACTCGTGCGGTATTTGAAACCAATACATAAATTCCACATAGAACCAACGACTCAAGTAATAAAAGTTTTCAATTTAGCCAAAACAAAATTAATTAATCGGTTCAAACAACAACTCAACACCTAAAACCAAAACATAAATTCCACAGAGAACCAACGTAGTAATGCAGTCAAAATAATCATAATTTTTGATTCAACCAATTTTTTTAAAATTAATTACTCGGTTCAAACAACAACTCGGTACCTGAAACCGAAACATAAACTCCACATAGAACCAGCGTAATACAATCCAAATAATCAAATATTCCGATTCAGAAAATTGTTTTTCAAAAGTAATTACTCGTTTCAAATAACAACTCGATCAGTACCTGAAACCGTTTCCGGTATGAATCAACCGCGGCCGCGTGCGAGAGCAATATATTTCTTCCGACAGTGTATGCCTCCTTAGCCTTCTCCGGGTCGTTGTCCTTTGGCGGTGACGCCAACTTTCGGAGAACAATAGTTCGGCCATCCGATTCAAATCTAGCCTCCTTGACCAGACGGACACCTCTATAGGGTATGAAGCTCTGGCCTTGATCACGATCGAGAGACAGGTTGTCGTCATTCATCGTTATTCGATCAAGGTTCGATGCATTTTCCTCCATCATATCCAACATGTTTTTTTGGGCCTTCTTTTCGGTTGGGGGCGTGAGCTCGGCCGACTTGGGCTCGATTTCGGGCCCAAAGTAGCTACCGTGAAAGCCCGGGGGAAAGTGGCGGCTGGCGTAGCCCGAGGCACTATAGGTCCATGCCTCGTTGATTGTGATCCAGTGCTTCACGCGATCCCCGAATTCCCAAAAGCATAGCTCAGCAAAATCTTGAAAGTCCTTCCTATTTTTTAAATTATTAAATTTATTTAATTTCTAGATAGATAGATAAATGTATTTCATGTGATTAATTAATTAGTGAAATCAACAAAAATAATAGGCTTACACTATCTTGTGGCTTAAGAAGCCACCATACTCTTTCTCCAAAAGGTAAGGAAGGTCCCAATGGAAGAGTGTCACATAGGGCTTCATGCCTTGCATTCATTCAATAAAATCATAAATTCACAATATGTTTTATGTAAATTGTATGAAGTAAATATAATAAATGAGATTACTGTGTCGAGAATAATGGATTTTTTTTAACTAGGACCAACCGTAAGCAAGGACGGTGTCGATAAGATTATTGTAGTAGTCAACTCCTTCTTGATTGACACCAAGGGAAATTTTCCCACCTAACATAAAACAAACCAAAAAAAAGCACAAAAATAGAAAATTTAAAATTATTCTTGCAAACTATAGGGAAAGATGTTTGATTTGAATTTAATTAGAAGTCCCTTAATTTTTAAAATCGATCAATTTGAAGATAACTTTGGTCGTAAATCAGAATTCGAACATGAATGTTTTTAAAGTTGTCAAATCTGAAAATAATTTCGGTTTGGAAATCCTCAATTTCCGGTGTAAATTCTTTAACTCAAACAAATTATTGACCAAAAATATCATGAGACAAATGCTCATGGTCCATTTTCTCCAAGGTATATATCCCATGATACATACTTACATACAGAATGTAGTTTATGTAACAAAACAATATTTTTTTTTTTTTTACTTAACTTGTTGAATCCATATATATGAAACTGTACCAGGCAATACTCTGGACCATGAGATAGAGAATCTGTAAGCATCAAACCCCATGTTCTTCATCGTCTTGATGTCATCCTGAAAAACGAAGTAATTGATCAAATAGCTTCAATCATATATATAATGGATCGATTTTTTCAGCTGAATTGAAAATATATACAACGTCAAGTCGAGTGGATATATACCTTGTATCTGTTGTACATATCGACAGCCACATTTCCATTGGATCCATCCAGAATGTTCCCTAAAATTCATCATTTGTTCATTATGAGCTCATAAGTAGCAAATAGAGAGAGAGAGAGAGAGAGAGAGAGAACCTGGATAGCCATTGGAGAAAACATCCCATGTACTAAAGGCTCTACCACCTTGTGCAAAAGCTCCTTCAACCTAAGTATTTTGAATAGTTTGTGTTAGTAATTATAATATATGTATTCCCCCATTTTCACAATTGTAATGTCTATATTTAATATGCATGGGTTTTGCCATTTTCATAATTTTTTTTTTCTTTTGTGAGGAAGACGAAAACCTGGTAAGCAGAGGTAGCGACTCCAAACACGAAATTCTTAGGGAAATCGTGACGAGTGATTTGGATGTCGATCGGTAGGGATGGGACTGATGTTGCCTCACTTCCCATAGTGGCTATCTATGAAATTTGTCTTTTGATTCTCTTATGTATATATGCAGAGGAATTGGATGAGTATTTATGGCTTGCTGATGAAAAAATTTTAAAGAGCCATCCCATGCATTTATAGGCCTGCCATGATCAATGGCTTGTCAAATAAGAGTAAGTTGATTAGGAGAATCATCTTTTATAAATATATATATAATTTTTTACCCTTACATCTAACCCCCTTCATATAAGATTTTAGAATTTTCTGAGCCTTGTCATTGTGGTTTGGGATCTTTTAAAATGTGAATACGAATGCATTTTCTTATTATTTGATAGACCTTATTTATAGTTTTTTCTGTATATTATCTATTTTTACACATTATATATTAAAATGATCGGACTTTAATAATTACTTTCGATCATATTGCATTTTAAAAAGAAAGCTCATGGATTCAAGACCAAACAAGCCATAAATGTTTCATTTCGATGCAGCAGCACAATGTACTTTATTTTGAATAAATTTACATAATTTTATTTTATTTTGAATCTCAGGTCTGTACCAGATCAGATATTGCATTTTGTTATTGGGATGTTAGGGAGATATCAGAGTAATCTAAGTGTTGACCATTGGAGAGCTGCAAAGAAGGTGTTGAGGTACCTTCAAGGGATAAAAGATTATATGTTCATATATAGGCAAACTGAAATTTTGGAGGTGATTGGTTACTCAGATTCTGACTTTGTTGGCTGCATTGATTCACGAAAATACACAGCTGGATATATTTTCATATTGGCCAGTGGAGCTATATCTTGGAGAAGCGCCAAACAAACCTTGACCACTACTTCGACAATGGAAGCGGAGTTCGTATCATGTTTTGAAGCTACTAGTCATGGATTATGGTTAAAGAGTTTCATATCTGGGCTTAGAGTTGTTGATTCTATATCTAAGCCATTGAGACTACATTGTGATAATTCAGTTGTGAATTCATGGTTACGAATAATAAAAGTGGAAGTCGGAGTAAACACAACTACATCAAGTACTTAGCCGTGAGGGAACGTGTGAAAGAATAAAAAGTGGTCATTGAGCACATTAGCACTTATGATTGTTGATCCTTTGATTAAGGGCATGCCACCTAAGAATTTTAAGGATCATGTAGTACGAATGAGTCTCGGTTCTAGTATGTAACATTTGGTTGTACGTACATTTGTTATCACTTGTTACATTGAAAATTTTATTGATATTTTCTCATTTAATTTGTGCACATTTATGTTTGGACCTGGAATAAATATTGAATATTGAATTTATTCATAAAGTTAAAAANAAGTGCATTGTAATACATGGAAGATACTATTCAATTTTAGAGGATAAATCGTGTACTTTGTATTTGGTGGTTTTGGATATAGCAACATATGGACCAAGTGGGTGAATGCTCTAGTATTTTATTTTCTCAATTATCTTGTATTAAGTATAAACAAGATAATTTTAAAGTGGTCCACATGTTCCTATTTATAAGGAGTACAAATACTGTTAATCACCTTAATCCATACAGTTCAGACGGTTGATATTAATTCTATGATGGACAAAATTAATAACTAGACATCTGTTTTAAAAGGTACTATATGTCTGAAGGTACTTTCTGTAAAGGGTACCATCTGTTTTAAAAAGTCCATAGGCTTATCATCATCTTATAACTATTGAATCTTACACCATCTAAGAAGAAAATGAAGGAGCCCGGAAGATCTTGACCGAAGAAAACAAAAATAAAAGTGCCGAAGCCTTCACTGTTGTTTTAAAGTATGAATACTTGATGATAATTTTAATACAACAACTAATAGCTAACACTTAATTGTACCAAACAAACTTTTATAAATAGTTGTGCGATAAACCGGTCAAAACGGTTAATAGAATCGGTTGGTCAAGACAGTTTATATGATTCGCTAACCGCTAAAATTGTTTTATGCATGTTTTTCAAAAAATGTATTCTTATGCTAAAAATATCATGCATTTGTTTATATCGGTTTTATTGTTTGAGTTGCAAGTTGAAAGTATATATATTCGCTCGAAAAGTACGAATGATTATGCATGTTTAACTGTAGTTAATTTTACTGATTTATTTTAATTTCTAGTCAAATAAATATCATTTCTTAATAAGTCGACTTATAAGTTATGAGATAGGGCCCAATTTAGCTTGTGAATTTTAAAAGTGTGATACTAAAAATTATTCAAAACCTTTATTCCCTTTAAGATAATATTTACTTATTTTAGCTTTTAATTCCAACAAGGCAAGAACAAAATTAAAATTCTTGCATCTCAATGAAGAAGATGTATAGATTTTATATATCCAATTTGGGTGGCCATGATCATGAAAATAATCTGTATTGTTTTGGACCTTTTGTTTTCACGTCTAATGCGACGTTCACAATTTGAAGATTTGCTTATATATCAAGCTTTATCAATTTTTTACTCGAGGACTGATAGTAAAATGCAGGTCCCAGCTTGGTCTTTTTCTTTATTTCAGTTGTTCCCTTCTTTTTGTAATTTTTATTCATCTTTCTTTTACTTTTTCTTTTATTTTTTGTTCACATGAATTTTGTAATGAGATCTACATACACGTATTGTGCAAAGGCGTAGCCAGAAAAAATTTTAACTCGAGGCTGCTAATATTGTAGCTATTATTGGAACCAAGTAGACATGGCCATGGTCGGGTCGGCCAACCGATTCGGCCCGAACATACACAAAACCGGTCTGTTGACCACAGGTCTTGAACCGACCCATGGTTCTTGGCGGGTCATATTTATGTTCAATAGATAATACATTTTGAACCGGTGGTTTCGGTTATGTACTGGAATTGAAACTGGAGGTTTGACTTTTTTTAAAAAAGAAAAAATTATTGTTAAAAATTATTTTTTATTTTTTTTAATAAATTGGGCGGCCTAAAACAGGCAGAGTGAACCGGCGCGTCCATATTTTTGGGCCGGGTCAGGGCCGTCCAACCCTCGGCTCGGGTGGTATCGACCCGAAATCGGTTTCGGTCATGACGAGAACCAAATTATTTGTTAACAAATTTCGGTTCGACGTGTGAAAACTCAATCTCGACTCATTTATATATTTAAACAAGTCAAACTCAAATAGCTAATCGAACTTTTCGAACATGCTTGCCATCAACTCTATTAGAGTTTTTTTTTCTTTTTCCATGAAATGAGCCCAAACTAATTATTGGGTGCAAAATCAACAAAAAACGAATGAAAAATGGATAATGAACTATGCAATGAGACGAACCCAATTAAATAGCCCGCAGGAGAAATGTGTGTCAAGCTAAATTATCCAACTCATTTGATACTTGTCAATTTTGTTCATTAAAAGTTTAGAAGGGCAAGAGTGTGTTGGACCACATTATAAGCACAATTGATAAAAATCTTGAAAGGGCATAATTGTCATTTGACATTAAAGGATTGTCTTCTTCCATCTCATTGCTCATGCACTATCATCACTTTTTACCATTGTTGCCATGAAAGTTGTTCATATACATGCACGAAAGCCAATATAAATAAAATAAGCTTTTAGGAGAGAGTATCACTCTTTTTCAGAACTTTTTCATTAAGTAATTTTGGCTAATAAGTACAAATATAAATTATTCGCCAAGACTTTCTCTAGCTAACCTACTTTTACTCCGCCTACCTAACTACTCTTCTGCCCGTGACATGGACTTAGATTTCACATTTGGATGCCTCCAAGCAATGTGAAGATACTAGTCCCACGCACCAAGTAGAAAGCAAAATAATTGCTATTTGGTATTATCTCACTATATCGTTAATACATATTTCACATTAAAATATATAATGTTTTTAAATATCGGTAAAGGATCTACACAAATTACTAAGGCTATGTTTGGTAGACAAATAAGCTAACTTATAATTTATTTAGTTAGTTTATAAGCTTCATGTTTCAAATATAGTTTCGTTTGGTAGGATAATCTTTTTTAAAAAGATCGAGCTTATTTGATAAGCTTTTTTGGGTAGCTTTTCAAATAAGCTCGTTAAAATTTTTATTTCAGCTAGCTTATCAGCTAATTTTACTAAACACTTTTGTCATATAAGCTAGCTTTTCAGCTATAAGTCATAAGCTATAACTTAAAAGCTCAAAAATTACTGATAAGGTATAAGCTAGCTTATCAGCTAGTTTTACCAAACATAGCCTAAATTATAAATGTCTTTTAGATACACCATTAGACAATTTATATATTGGCATCTAATAGATTATCTTTTATCATCCTTACTAAGTTATTTTGTTAGGTGGATGTGTTTGTTGTGTTTTTGTGCTTATTTTTATGTGTTTTATGTGCTTAGTTGAGTCGTTCTAGGTCTTTTTCTTGTTCAACCGGTCCATTTTAGTTGTTTCGCTTGCTTTTATTTGTATTTGATGTTTTTGTGTTATTGGAGTACTTTCCAGTCTCTTTTGGTGTTTTATAGAGGAATCGAGCCGAGTCCCGAGCACGCGAGTTGAGAAACCGAGCATGTCATCTCTGTTCATTTCTGAGCTTGTCTAGCACAAATTCCCATGGAGTCCGAGAGAAATGAAAGATACTCGAGAGATTTCCACCGAAGCCGACTAACTTGACAGTTTTCCGAGGTTCGTGTGCTGTTTTCAAAGAGTCTATTGATATCCCGAGCATTCGCCCGGCATTCCGCCGGGCGGACCAAACTTCGCCAGAGTCCAAGACCTACACTCGCCCGGCTTTCGCCAGGCGGCCT